TTATTTACCTTCTATGCCTGTCACTGGAGCTGAGAGCCAGCTTTCTCTCTGAGGCTCGGCTGCTGAAAGCAGGTTTCTGGCATTTGTTTACCTTCTGTATTCGAAACAATGTTGCGGTCCTGCTGGCTTAAGCCTGGCTGACTAAAGCAGGTTTCTGGGGTTTTGTTTAGCTTCTATATTTGTTACAATGTTTCAAACTGCAAGCTCAGAGGCCGGCAAGGCAGGCGGGGAAGCTTGGCTTCCTCCGTCACTGAAGCAAGCAAGCCTCCCTGTTCACTTCAAGCTGCCTGGCTGCCGGCCGCCATCTTGGCTGGCAGTTAATTTGCATATCTCCCTGATTAGCCAATGGGAAGGGTAGCGGATGTATGGCTAATTACCATGTTTCTCTTTTATTAGATAGGATGGTGTTGTATTTGCATATAATCCATGCACATCCTCATGTATACTTTTTTCTTTTTAATCCTCACCTGAGGATATGTTTATTGATTTTAGAGAGAGAGGGAGGGAGAGAAAAAGAGAGAGAAACATCGATGTGTGAGAGAAAGATTGATAGGTTGCCTCCTATATGTGCCCATACCAGGGATTGAACCTGCAACCTAGGTATGTGCCTTGACTGGGAATTGAACCCGCAAGCGTTTTAGTATAAGGGATGACACTGCACCTAGCCATCTGACTGGGGCCATCCTGTATACTTTAAGTCATCTCTAGATTACTTATAATACCTACTACAATGTAAATGCTATATAAATAGTTGTTATACTGTGTGGTAACAAGAAAAAAAATCTACATATTCAGTTCAGATGCGATCACTGTGGGTCCAACTACTAGTACATGTCAGCAACAATTTCTTTTTCAAATACTTTTGATCTGTGTTTGGTTGAATCTACAGGTGGGGAACCTGTAGATACAGAGGGATGGCTATATTTGCCAAACTCATGGTGTCATAGATTCTGGGGACACAGAATCAGACAGAGCCCCAGCCCTGTGTAGCTTATTTCTGGTGGGAAGGACAGACCAGCAAAGTGCCAGTTAGGACTGGGGGTGATTTTAAGCAGTGGCTGCTCAGGGTGGAGGCAGGGAGGTTTTGGTCTGATGCACTGGGAAAGCGGTGCCGCTTCTGAGAAAGAACAGATTGGTGGAGTTTCACACAGGACATGTGAGGTTTGAGGTGTCTCTTAGGTCATCCAGGAAAGGGTATCAAGTCAGCAATTGGACAAATGAGCCTAGGGCTCAGGAGATGGAGGGGTTTGGGGCCAGGAAAGGTATTTGAGTGATTTATTTATAAGCCATGGGGTGGGTAGAATCACCCGGGAATGAGTGTCACAGTGATGAGGACCAAGGACTGAGCCCTGGGGTGTGGCAGCACTTATAGATCAGTGAGAGGGGAAGGATCCAAGAAAGGGCATGAGAAAGGAGTGGCCAGTGGGACAGGAAGAAAGCCAGGAGGCTGTGGGGAAAGGGAAGGGGCCCATCACTTGGTTATGCTGGTGAGACTTGGACCAGGGACCAGCATGTGGCAGAGGCGGTCAGCCATAGACCTAACCCCTTGGGAGCAGCCACAGCTGAGCATGGGGGGAGGGGCAGTGGTTTTGGGGGAGTGAAGGATTAAGAGAGAGTGGGGGGCCAGGAGGAGGAACAGCCAGAACAGACCAGGCTTGTGAGGGTTATCTGGGAATAGAAGAGGGAACTGTGGTGGCAGTGGGAGAGGAGTGGGGGCCGAGGAAACTTGTTTGGGTCTTTGTTGGATTTACCTGAGAGGTATTTGAGCATTGGAGTGGCAGAAGGGATGGGCTCACCAAGAGGTTGAGCTTAGGAAGGCAACGGGGTGACTATATATATAAAAGCCTAAGCGACCAGCCAACCAGCCGATAGCTATGACGTGCACAGACCACCAGGGGACAGGCGCTCAACGCACTCCAGGACCCCTCTGGGGATGTCGGACTGCCGGTTTCAGCCCTATCCCCGCAGGCCAGGCCAAGGGACCCCACCGATGCACGAATCCGTGCACTGGGCCTTTAGTCCATATTAACAGACAGAGGTGTGGAGGTGCATAAGGGTGGATGGAGTGGTGGGGGGGGCTCAAGTGGTAGTGAGAAAAAGTAGTTGTACAGACAGGGACAGGGTCCCTGGGGCTGCAGCTGTGATAGTCAGCAATGCTCAATATGTGGCTATGTAGGCCATTCATCCTTTCATTCACATTTTTGTTAAAAAATGATAACTCTTCCCCCCCCCCCCAAATCATCCTACCAAACATAAATAACTAAATTTTCAGTTATAAAGCTATTTAGTTGTTTGGTGTTTACATTGTATTTAAATTAATTCGTTGTCCTCAGTATCCTGCCAAAAGCTGGATAAAACCCTCATGGCAGTTTGTGTTGGAATTTAAGTAACCCACTTAAAGGTCTGTTATTCACCGGAGGACTCAAGAAGCCATTCCCATTTGTTCTGTTAGCTGAGTTCTTTGTACGCATAGCACTTTGCTGCCATCTAGTGTCATAAATTTTTCTTTGAGTTTTTTGGGGGAGGATCTGAGACATTTTTTTGCAGAATACATTGCTGTTTTTAAGTGTTGGGCATTTTTTGAAAAAAAAATATTTTATTGATTTCAGAGAGGAAGGGAGAGGGAGAGAGAGAGAAAGAAATATCAATGATGAGAGAGAACCATTGATCGGCTGCCTCCTGCACACTCCACACTGGGGATCGAGCCCGCAACCTGGGCATGAGCCCTTGACTGGAATCGAACCTGGGACACTTCAGTCCCCAGGCTGACGCTCTATCCACTGAGCCAAACTGGCTAGGGCAGTGTTGGGCATTTTTAATAGCGAACCAAAGCAGTAATCCGACTACTCACTAAACATGGTTAAAACATAAAACAAACTAGATATCGAAAAACGCTTTGTTTTGGATAAAATGGATCAATTTTTAGTACTTATTTAATAGGAACATTTTTATTGTATAATTAAAGCTTTTATTCAGATTTTTCTTTTAAATGGAGAGCTCTTACAGATCTTTCTATCTAACCCTGGATCCTGCCAGTCATCACACATCTCACCCATGAGAAACTGCTCAGGCTCCTTGTAATTGTTGATGTAAACGCCTCACCCCAGGTTAGGGATCTACGGGGAGAGGCTTTGGGTTTTTGCCCAGCTAGAAACATTAGGAGTGTTAGCATTAGGAAGCAGAATCTCCTGTTGGTTATGTTTGTCTTCTAGTGAAATTTGGGGAGTGGACTCAGTTGTGGAGAGAAGATACTTTAAGAACAGTGAGTGGTAATGAATATATTTCAGATAACCTTGGGCAGTAACTGCGCCCACTCTGCCTCCCTCCGCTTCATGGCAGAGTCTCTCGTGAAGTGTTCCTGGTTTGCCAGCAACTTCTGTGTTTGCTTTGAGAATTAGCCAGACACAGCCAGTGTAATGCTACCTGGTGTGGGGTAACTTTTACCGTAGATGGGTACTTCTGGAAAGGGATTAGACAAATGAATTTAAGCTGCCATTTCATTGGTAATATAAATAAATTAAGCTATTTGTTTTCATACTTAGTTTCTATGTGGTCTACCTTATAAAAATCCCACAGCCTGTAGGCCTGGACTTTTTTTTACTGGAATTTTTCTGGGTTAATTTATTGTCATCCAAATCTGTTTTTATTCCCACCACTCCATGCTGGGGAGAGCTTAGCATGATTGTATAAAGCTTTAATTTGGAATTAAATCACATCAATAAATATTTAGTCGTATGGTAAAGAGAATGCAGAATACTTATTTCCTCAAAAGTGAATTCCCGAAAGCATGCAGTCTGGAATGAAAATGAATTAGTCATGAAATAAAGACAGTAGTAACATGGGGAGCCAGGCGGAGTACCTGGGAGCTAGCTCAGTGTTTACCTGTACGTGTAGTGCGTGTCTAAGTGTGAGTTTGTGCATCTTCCTGCCCAGGCTGCTGTCCTTTGAATAGGCTGCTTAGCTTCATGAATTTTTCTTGAGGGACTGGAATGTTCTTTCTCACGGTGGTCTGTTGCGGCCAAAAGGTAAACTGAGTGGGGGGTGAAAGGATTAAGGAAAGACAGATAAGAGAATGAAAGCTGGGTCTCGGTGCGATGCTGCTCCCTGATGAGGAGACAGTGCCAGCGCCCACAAGCCGTGTCTTTTTTTTTATAGCAGATGCCACGAGGCAAAGTAGGGGCGTGATGAAGTTGTTTACAGCATTCTCGTGAGTTTCAACCTCACTCAACTACATGCACCTGAACTCTAGCACAAGGCACGTGGGGTTACGTATTTGGACCATAGGTTCAAGCTTACAACCACAGCCGTTGGCTATAATTGTGCTGGGCGGGCCCTGCCCTCCAGCTGGGACTTGCACGTGGCAATGAGAGGACCCTGTCCTTTCATTAGTCCGAGGCTTGAACCTAGCCAAGACACTGTAACCGCGCCCCATAGTGGTCTTTGCACAACACGGGGTCTGGGAGAAGCTGGCAGACACCTGAGGCAGTTGGTACCAGTACTGCACTTACTTACCCTTTCTTTTCCCGTTCCATTGTTCTGTCCCTCTGCCTTGTTCATGAGGGCCTGGGAGTAGCCTTCATGATGGGGTGCTCTCTGACCTGTGTCTCCAGGCACCCCCAAAGGTAGTGCTAGGGACACTATTTCTTTTACTCTCTTATCATCTCTATTCCCTGGAAATTTCTGTACTTCTGCACTTAGTTTAAAGTGTGCACCATTGCAAAGTTACCTTTTTTACTGTTTTGTCTTACATGGGTTTATATAACAAAGATAAGCTGGCATTTAATCAGAATGATCCTAAAGGTGAATAGTGTTTTCTATACTTTTGAAGTATTTGGTTGAAGTATTTTGTAATTTGAAACTTGTTCAGTCTGAGTTGCTTTATTAAGCTAACTCTAAGTGATTTCTAATAAATAATCTTCATAACTAACGTCAGTTAAGGCACATGTTTAGTTGCCCATTTGTTGTCTGCTTGTAAAAGCAAACTGCACTGATCTTTGCAGGGCGATCTGAAAGCGTACCTGCGCAACGAGCAGGAGCACGTGCGGGGGGACTCGCAGACCATGCTGCTGCAGCGGATGGCGTGTGAGATCGCCGCGGGGCTGGCCGCCATGCACAAGCTGCACTTCCTGCACAGGTGGGTCCGTCCGGCGGGGAGAGGCGTGCAGTTTGTCAAAGGGCCTATCAAAAGCTCCAAGAGACAGGCTGTAGAGTCCGCTCTGGTTTAAATCGTAGACGCTGCCCTGTGCAGAAAGGTAAACACCTTTCTGTCAAAGCTTTCCGGTCCTACTCACACAACCGCAGCTCCTTGGGCACATTTTGTTCAGATCATTGATGTAATTTTTGTAATTAAGACAACAAAGGGCTTTGAGTCCCACCTGATATGATGGTACCGTGAACCCAAAGGGAGAGTTCTGCTTATTCTTTAGCCTTTTGAGCTCTGATTTATGTTTAAAATATGTTTAACCCTTTTTGGTCCAACGTCGAGGCTGACTCGACCAGTTTCAAAAGATACCACACTATGAAATGTTTTAAAGAATAAACTCTTTGATTGAACATACTTAATAATATAACCAGTGAATTTTTGGTTTAAACTTTAAAATAAGAACATTAAAAAGTTCAACATTCAATCCCTTCAATTAATTTGGACCAGACTGTTTGAATTCCAAAAATAAAATTGGACCGCAAAGGGTTAAAATTATTTCTTGGGTCTCCTGGGAAACCAGGCAGTGTCTCTTTAGTTGAATTTAATTAAAACATTTAACTCTTACACCTCATGATTTCACTCATTTGTGGAATATAGAGAACAACATAGACTGATGAATAGGGACAGATCCAAAGATAGAGAAACAGCGATCAGACTATTAATCCCCAGAGGGAAAGTAGGGGAGGGAGGGGGCAAGGGGAAGAGATCAACCAAAGGACTTGTATGCATGCATATAAGCCAAACCAATGGACATGGACAACAGGGGGATGAGAGCATGACTGGGGGGGGGAGGATGGGGGTTTAATGGGGGGGATGAGGACACATTTGTAATACCTTAACTCATTGGTTCCCAAACTTATTTGGCCTACCGCCCCCTTTCCAGAAAAAATATTACTCAGCGCCCCCTGGAAATTAATTTTTTTAAAATTTTAATAGCAATTAAACAGAAAGATATATGCCCCCAAATGCACCTGTGGCCATCACCGCCCCCCTGGATCGCTGCAGCGCCCACCAGGGGGCGGTAGCACCCACTTTGGGAATCACTGCCTTAACTAATAAAGAATTAAAAAAAAAACATTTAACTCTTAATAATCTAAAGACCTAAAAAGGTACACCTGTGTGTATTGATGTTAAGGAATGTCTATGAAACATTATATTTTTTAAAAGGCAGGTTGGCTCGGCTGGTGTGGCTTAGTGGTTGAGTGTCAACCCAGGAACCAAGAGGTCGCAGGTTCGATTCCCGGTCAGGGCACATGCCTGGGTTTTGGACTCAATCCCCAGGAGGGGGCGTGCAGGAGGCAGCCAATCGATGATGTTCCTCTCTCTCATTGATGTTTCTATCTCTCCCTTCCTCTCTCTCAAAATCAATAAAAAATTTTTTTTTAAAAAAAGGCAGGTTTTACTGGGATATATTTATAGAATGACAATTTTTTAAAGATTGTATTGATTTGAGAAAGAGGGGGGAAAGGAGAGGAAGATAGAGAAACATCGATCAGCAGCCTCCTGCACGCCCTCTACTGGGGATCGTGCCCACAACCCTGGCATGTGCCCTGAATGAGAATCAAACCGGCCAGGGCGGTAGGGCATTTTTAAAGTTGAAATTTAGAATATTTATTGGCTGACTCAAAGTCAGATTTTCTGTGTTGGTTGAAAATAGAATAGTCCACATGTCCAGCTGAAAGCTGTGAGCTGCATTTGGAAACTGCTGTGGTAAAGCACCCCAGTACATTTTATTTTTACTATTGTTTAAGAAGAGAGCTAGGCCTGGCTTTAGGTAGCCTGCATGTTTGCAGTCGGACACAGGACATTCATGACACTCAGTGACTGTCAGTCATTTTGCTTGCCATCTGCTACCAGGAATTCAGATTATTCAGGAAAGCACAAGCAGGAAGTGGGGTGTGGTTGGTTTTGGAAAATGGCTGCAGTGGCATTGAGCTGCTCATGAGAGCTGTCCTTTTGCAGATGGTAAACTCCAGATCTGGGGGGAGTTGAGGACAAGTCGGGTGGGGATTCCTGAGAACCGCGAGCTCCCAGGCGTGTCTGTCAGCCCCACTCTCTCGGGTGGCTGAGTCGTGTGCAGCCACTGACAGGGGCGAGCCAGAGCCTGGACAAGGGGCGAGCCAGAGCCTGGCAGCCTGCCCACTGGACCTGTTTTTCAACTTGAAGGAAGAAGATACTGGTGTGTTTGTGTTTCCTGACCAGAACCAGCATTGACGTCAAGAGTTAACTCTGTTGTTCAGAAGTTGCACCTTGTGTTTTTCTCATCTTTAGCTTTGCGTGTTCTGGGCTTCAGAGAATATTTTTTACCAATTTTTGAATCAAATTATATCATGATCATCTTGAATCTGGGTAGCACGTTAGCATTTCCTGTGTATTTTATTTTATCCTGATAAAGATTAGCCCTTGCAGGTTCAGCCCTGTTGTTTTCGTGAGGGCACGGAGGCTCTGATGTGCTGAGCGACTTGGCCAGAGTTACCCAGTTCTTAAGCCGTGGAGCTGAGACTAGTGCCCGGGTCTGACAGTGGTGACTGGGGTGTTGGGAGTGGAGGGAGCAGGTTTCGCAGAAAATCCCTCCAGTCATGCCACTGTCTTCTTCCCCCTCAGCTCTGGCTCAGTTAGGAGAGGTTTCCCTTCTTTCCCTGGGACGGTCAGTTGAACTGTATGCGAGGTTTGCAGTGCCATTTACAATGTGCAGATGCCTTTTGCACATAATGTCCCATCTTTCACCTGACCTTCACATCTGAAATCTAAAGGCCTACAGTGACCACGAGTAAGGAGAGGAGGGAGGAAGCGGGCAGTCCAGGAACTGCTTGAATGGCCTGAGCAGAAAGTGTCCGGAGCTCCGAAGGGGCTGCAGCCAGCCCCAGGCTGAGAGAGGAACACACACACACACACACACACACACACACACACACACACACCCTCCCTCCCCCCCTCCCTCCCTCCCTTCCCCTCCCTGTCGGAATGCTGGCACCCAGCTTTTAATTCTGGTCTCAGGAGGGAGGTGTGCGGAGGCTGTGAAGGGTCTGTGTATAGAAACTCCAGAGATGCTCATTAGTGGTGCTCAGTAGCAGGACCTCTGTTGGCAAAACCTGCACACTGTCCAGCTTCAGCTTTGGGTCCAGTGGGTAAAGCTGCCCCCTTCAAGCTTTCTTGTTTCTGCCCTCAAATGGCATACTACTTCTGTCCCTCCGTCCCTTTTTCTTCTCTTTCTAAATGTAGGGGCCAATTCTGTTCTTAAGATTGGAAGTTTCTCTATTATTTGTAGCAATGGAATCGGGGGGCAGGGGGCCCAGGTTTTTCCCAGACACATCCACAGGTCTGAAGGCTTCTGGATGGAATGCTGAAAATCACCGTGTGTAAACAGAGATGTGTAGAGAGGAATTTAGTGTAACTTAATTATTTGGGAGATTAATTGGAAATTCAGATCAGCACATGTTTGTGGAGGACCAGCCATACGCACAGTGCAGTGCTCTGGCTGTTGACGTATTGTCGTGGATAGTCACTGATGTGGACAGCGTGAAATGCTGCTGTCCTGTCAGCTTTGGGACCCTAACAAAGGCACTTCAATTCTCTGTGCCTCGGTTTTGCTGTCTGTAAATGGGGAAAATAATAGTATCCCCCTCAAAGGTTTGTTGTGAAGATTAAATGAGTAACAACACACGTAAAGTGCTTAGAGAAACGAGTTGTGTAAAGTAAGTGCTTTGTAAATATTAGCCATTTGAATATAATTGAATCAGTGTTATATACCAAGTTGCCATTGAATTATACCAGTGTTAGTTATTGCTGTTGTCATTCTCATGATTATATTTCAGATGTGAGCTTTGGAAATTAAAATCTTTGAAAGTAAGAATTTAAGAGTTAAAGTTTTTGGTCTTCTATCATCATATAAAGACAAACATTTTAAATTTTAGACTATAGATTTTCAGTTTTTGATAACTTTTATTCATGATTTAAAACTATAAACTCATTTTTAATTTAGTGGCCTTTTTTATGTGTATGCCAGTTGATGACTTTAAAAATTCCAAGGACTAAAGCCAAAATAAAAGAAATTTAATCTGTTGTTTATATAGGAAGTTCCTTTAAGAAAAGTAATTTTTTTTTCAAATTATGTGTTTTTGAAAATCAGTTTGCTCTTACATAAACTGTATAAGTAAATTGTTTTAAGTAACTCTTGCAAATGTGCTCTTTAGCTCCCTGGTGGAGAGGAGGAGTTTGGAGGAGATGAGAGTAATTTGAAAAGGGCTCCTTCTAATGCCTGTGCATCATTGAAAAGGGAGTTAAAAACAAACAGTTTTAATAATGTAAACTGGGGGGCTTGAGGTTGTAACTTTACTAATCTTCACCAGACTATTACTCAAGTAATACAAGTTATTGTAAAAAATATTCAGACAATTTAGACAGTAGTATTTTTTTTAAAATATATTTTATTGAATTTTTACAGAGAAGAAGGGAGAGGGATAGAGAGTTAGAAACATTGATGAGAGAGATCGATCAGCTGCCTCCTGCACAGCCCCCAGTAGGGATGTGCCCGCAACCAAGGTACATGCCCTTGACCGGAATCGAACCCGGGACCCTTGAGTCCGCAGGCCGACGCTCTATCCACTGAGCCAAACTGGTTCGGCAAGACAGTAGTATTTTAGAGTTCCTTCTTGACCACTCTTAAAAGACTAGGAAGGGAGCCACAAACCTGGTGTTAATGCAGCACAAGGTACAGATATGCTCAGTATTTGACCTTAGCCGTCATAGCTATTTGCAAAAATATCTGATCAACTCCATTATTTAAGTCACTAAACTATAATATGTAATCGATTTGCTATAAAAAAAGAATTTTAAAATATAAATTATTAAATAGGGAGCTCAAAATACTACTCTGATTCCCAGAGAAAGCCTTTTTCCATAGCGATGTCCTGTCATGTTTTCTGGTCACGGATTTTCCTTGTTCTTGAGTTCACTTCACTCTCTCTGTTTTCAGCGACTTAGCCTTGCGGAATTGTTTTCTTACCTCGGATCTAAATGTGAAAGTGGGAGACTATGGAATAGGATTCAGCAGGTACAAGGTAAGCCAGAGCTTCACAGGTTCTCTCCTTAGTCGTTAGTCGGATTTAATTTTTCCTGGTCCCAAGGTGGTGCTAGCACAGAATGCCACTCCTTTTCTGAAAGAGGGTGAGAATCTTGTGCAGGCGGCCTTTTTGGAGAGTCCCAGTCATTTAAGTGGGAGTGTTGGCGTCTGATGTGTGGTTTTTCTAAATCAGTGACTTTGTCCTGGAGGTTTGGTTTCAGCTTCCCCAATGCTTTGTTTAAAAAGACGTGCACTGGGTGTGATTGACACAGTTTGATGCTGTATAATAAATGTTAGTGTGCATTGGGCAGTATAATTAATGCCATGTGTATAATAAAATACACATGTCACATAACTATTTCTCCCTTCTATGTTCAGTAAAATTTTGGATCGAATTCAGTAAGCTTGGGGTTTAGGTTTTTAAACTGTCACAAACATATCCCCAAAGAAAGGAAGAGTAGGTGAGGTTTTATCTGTGTGTGTGCAGCCCAGCTGAAGGGGAGGAGGTAGCTTGATGTGGGGCGAAGAAGGGAACTGTCCGCTCCACGCTGCCCGGAGACCTTGGCGCAGCCGCTCGACCTCCTTTTCTGAGCAGCAACATGAGGATAATATCGGTGCTGTGCTATGGGGTTCGTGTGGCTCAGTACTTTTTAACCAAAAATTATTTGCGAATATAAGTTGGCCATTTGTTGATATAGTAGCTCTAGTGTCTTGAGCACTTACTGTATATTCCAGGCACTCTGAGGTGCTGGCCTGCATGATCTCATTTAATCCTCACCACGAAGAGAGGGAGGGATTGCATCACCTCCTTTGATGGATAAGGAAAGAGGCCGGGCATGTTTGTTTCCTTCCTGGAGTCCCTCGCTGGTTAATGGTTGAACATGGACTTGCAACCCAGCCTGTCTGTTCTGAAGCCTGCGCCCTTATTAACTGGCACCACTCTCCTATTCGGGGCGTAGAGCCCAGCTCTTTCGTTCAGAGTCTGTGTTCTGGGCATCAGATACAGTGTACCTTCCTTTTCCAGGAAGGGTGACTGAGCGAGTGTTTGTGCTGAGACCAGCTCATGAAGCCCAGGAGGCTTTGGAGAGACCTCACCCACCTCCTGCCCAGAAAGTCTCTCTTTATGCCCACTTTCTTTTGGGTTGAGTATTGTTTTCTGAGAATGACCTGGAATTAAATTACTGAGCTCATTAAAAGTATGAAAGAATTCAAAATTCTGTGTGCTTTCTAACAAAACAGGAGGATTATATTGAAACAGATGACAAGAAAGTTTTCCCTCTGCGATGGACTGCTCCAGAGTTAGTAACCAGCTTTCAAGACAGACTACTAACTGCAGATCAAACTAAGTACAGTAACATTTGGTATGTATTGATCTACCATTCTACTAGGCTTTTGTGTAGCAACGTCCTAACTCTTTCTCCTGGAGCACTTTCTTAAAGGGAGTAATTGAATAAGTTGTAGGGACTCAAGAGTGCCTGGTGGTATGGAAAAGACAATGTACGTATTGATATGGCAGTAGTCACATTGCAGTGACATAATTAACTTTTTGAATACTGCCTCTCTTACCCATTCAACAATAATAAGCTCCATAAAAGCAGGATCCAAGTCCATTTTCTGTGCCTACCACAGGGTCTAGCATATAATACAAATTTAATAAATATTTATTGAAGTGAATGAAAACACAGAAAGGCTAAGTACTTCTTGAACTTGATTGAGAAATGTCGGTCCTTTTATTTCCTCTGATAGAAATGATCTCTCAGCTTAGATACTGAATATGCTGATTGTTTTCACTGATTTGTGAAATTAGCATCGGAGAATTTAATTCATGTTATATTGTATTGTACAATGTCAGATAATACATTTATTTAATTCCATACAGCTTATTCAGACCAGCATTCTGGTGGGTATTGATCACAGTCACGTAAACCATCATTATCCAAACCTCGCTGGATATCAGAATCAGGAGGGAGCTTTTCAGAAAAACCATTTCCTAGGCCACACCGGCATCTGCCAGCTAAGAGTCCTGGGGGCGCGGGATCCTAAATACCAAAGTGTTCCTGAAAGCTGCCCAGATAACACACATGCTCAGCCCGGTGTGGGAGCCATTGCCATAAGGAGGAGACAATCATGCACGACAGAAGGCAGGAAACAGAGAGAAATGCGGAGACCACGGAGAGGAGGTGAAGGGTCAGTGTCCATCTGACTTGAGCAGCAGAGGCCACTTCCCTGGGGACCAAGCAGTGGACATGAGAGCAAGTGGGACCAGCAGAGAAGGGGCCTTCTTGCCTTTGGTAACGGCTGCACACCTGGAGGCACTGAGAGGCTGGGCAGGTGGCGCTCTTGGCACACAGATAGCTGGCAGAGTGATGGAGGGAAATCCCTTCATAACAGCAACATGCCCCCAACTACAGGAATAACTACAAGAAATGTGTGGGCTCTAGCCGGGTTGGCTCAGTGAACAGAGCGTTGGCTGTGACTGAAGGGTCCCAGCTTCGATTCCATATACATGTGCCTCGGTTACAGGCTTGATCCCTGGCCCTAGTCGGGGCTCATGTGGGAGGCAACCAATCCATGTGTCTCTCTCACATCGGTGTTTCTGTCTCTCCTCCTCCCACTTTCTCTAAAAAATCAATGGAAAAATATCCTCGGGTGAAGATTAACAAAAAAAAAAAAAAAAGAAAGAAAGAAAAAGAAATATGAGGGTCCAACAGGGAAGAGTTGTTCGTGTAAAGATTTCTTTTAGATCCATTATGAATGGAACTCTTTTTCTACCATAAAACTCAGAGTTCAGTATATTTATTTTCTATCTAACCATTTTGCTGAACTCCTAAGTCATTTTCATGATCTTTCAAATAATTTCTTGACTTTTGAAGTTGAGAGTCAGATTAGCTCCTCCCTGTAATTGTGCCTGTCTCTGTTTCACATGGTTTTGCATTGGCCAGAACTACCAGAGCTGTGTTTACCAGTAGGTAAGAGGAGTCCTGCTTGCCGTGGTCCTCAGTTTCATGAGAATGTCTCTTTTTCAGATCATGTTAGAGAGCTATCTTTACTGCCTTTCAGTACACACCTTGTCCTTAAAGTTCCTAGTGACTGCACAAATACTGTGGATGTTAAAAATTCAACGTCTAAAGGGAGAAAGAAATAATCACTTTCTTTTTCCCTCAGGTCCCTGGGTGTGACGCTTTGGGAACTTTTTGATAATGCTGCTCAGCCGTATTCCAACCTTTCCAACTTGGATGTTCTTAACCGGGTCATTCGAGAGAGAGACACAAAACTCCCCAAGCCCCAGCTGGAGCAGCCTTATTCTGACAGATGGTTGGTGACTTCCTGTTTCTGTTTTTATACAGTAAATGTTGTATTTTTCATTTGTATACTATTCATGACTTTTAAAAGAATTAATGTATATTTTTATAATTTAACATTGTTTTTGAAAAATGTATGGAATAAGTAGGAATTTTTGTGTATTATGCACAATAAAAAATGTGAAGTCAGATTCATTAAAGTCAACAGTAATTGAGTTTGCTATTGCGGAATTGTTTTCAAATGAAGCTAGCTATAAGTGATATCTAACGTGAGAAAAAAGATAGCATAAAAATGATAATATTTAAATTGGCAGTTGAAACTAATTTGCATAACATAACATGTTCACATTTGCAAAACAAACTTATTTTTTATGCGTCTTTGAACCAGTTCTTACTCCATTTCCAATTAAGATCTGGTTCACTTACCTTTAGGCCTCTGTCTACACCCCTGAGTGCCCAGCTGGCATTGCCCCTGAAGGTTGGTGCCCCTGCCTATAGGCAGTGCTCAGCTTCCCAGGTTGTTAGAACCATTGCCTCAGAATAACTTGGCATATACGCTGTAAGTTGAATACTTTGAAGTTGTCTTTGCGCATGGCTACCCTCGGCTGTGTTCAGCTAGCCCTTGGAAGACCAACTCCTGGCTGCTGCCTTCTTGGGCTTCATTCTCTCTTCCCTCCACTTGCAGCTCCTTTTATGGTCTAAGGAAACCATGTGCTGCAGAAGATTATAGTGTTACTGTTCGTCAGGGGAGTAGTGAGATGAGTTACAGCAGCATTTGTCTGTGTGAGTTTTTGCAAAATAAAGTGAATAAATCTACAAACTCAAGGCAAGTGCATTCTTTCCACACAGAATACCTGTGACAATTGTTTCACGAGGACAGCATGTTAAAACTGTTCTTTCTGAATTCAGTAGACAAGTCCTTGGTTAAACACCAGAGGAACAAATGACAAGGCAACAGAATTGCTGTGATCCTGTGGAATGTCCTGAGAACACAGAAGTTAGTGGTCAAATGCATTATTTCTGCATTTCCTCTCTCACCATGGTCTCACCAGGAACTGAACGACTTCATGTGGCCAGCAGTGATTCAAGTGTAGAAACTTCTGGGATGTCCAGTTGGCTTAGGGCAGCGGTTCTCAACCTGTGGGTCGCGACCCCTTTGGGGGTCGAACGACCCTTTCACAGGGGTCGCCTAAGACCATGGACAAACACATATATAATTACATATTGTTTTTGTGATGAATCACTATGCTTTAATTATGTTCAATTTGTAATAATGAAAATACATCCTGCATATCAGATATTTACATGAGGATTCATGACAGTAGCAAAATTTCAGTTATGAAGTAGCAACGAAAATAATTTTATGGTTGGGGGTCACTACAACATGAGGAACTGTATTAAAGGGTCGTGACATTAGGAAGGTTGAGAACCACTGGCTTAGGGGCTCTTGTAAAGTCTTTTCTTATTCTAAAAATGATGTGTTATCAGTCCGTTAACTACCTGTCGTGTGTCCCTCAGGTATGAAGTTTTGCAGTTCTGCTGGTTGCCACCAGACAAGAGACCAGTGGCCGAGGACGTGCACAGACTGCTCACCTACCTGCGCATGCAAAGCCAGAGGGACTCGGAGGTCGACTTCGAACAACAGTGGAACGCTCTGAAACCAAATACACACACCAGGGACACTTCCAACAGCGCTGCGTTCCCCATCCTCGACCATTTCTCCAGGGATCGGCTTGGTCGTGAAATGGAGGAAGTCCTCACCGTGACGGAAACCAGCCAGGGCCTGAGCTTTGAGTATGTCTGGGAGGCAGCTAAGCACGACCACTTTGATGAACGCAGCCGGGGCCCCCCAGACGAGGCCTTGTCTTACACGAGCATCTTCTTTCCAGTTGAAGTGTTTGAGAGTTCACTTTCAGATCCCGGGCCCGGGAAACAAGACAGCAGTGGCCAGGAAGTCCCCGTGAGAGCCCCGGGAGTGGTTCCCGTTTTTGATGCCCACAACCTTTCTGTTGGAAGCGACTATTACATCCAACTAGAAGAAAAAAGTGGTAGCAACTTGGAGCTCGATTACCCACCTGCACTGCTTACCACTGAACTGGAGAATCCAGAGAGGACGAGTGACAAGGCGCCCCAGTTTCTGACACTCAGGGGCCTTGAGTTTGAGGAATCCAGTACAGATGAGGATTTCTTCCAAAGCAGTACAGACCCCAAAGATCCCAGCACCCCTGAGGACATGCGTGCCACCAGGGGCCCCGAGAGCCCTTTCAACAATATATTTAATGATCTTGACAAATCGGAGGATCTGCCCAGTCACCAAAAAATATTTGACTTAATGGAACTGAATGGGGTTCAAGTGGACTTGAAGCCGACCACTTTAAGTTCAAGTTTGGACGACCCCAAAGACTCACTAATAACAGGCCACCTTGAGAAAGAAAAGCCCGACAAGCTTTTTGACTGTGAGCCTCTTTGCTTCTCAGAAAGCCTTGCGCACCAAGATAATTTTGATCCACTGAATGTGCAAGAATTGTCAGAAAACTTTTTATTTCTTCAAGAGAAAAACTTATTAAGAGACTCATTGTGTAGCAAAGAACATATAAATGACCTTCAAACAGAACTTAAAAATGCTGGTTTTACGGAAACCATGTTAGAAACTCCATGTAGGAACACTTTAGACACCAAGTTTAAGTTTGCTGAAAATAAACCAGGCTTTTCTTTGTTGCAGGAAAACATAAGCGCAAAGGGTCAAGACACACGTGTTGTGCTCAAGGACCACGCTTTGAGCACCTCGTGGCCGTCTTCCCCGGAAGTGCAGGTACCTCCTACCTCGCTCGAAACAGAAGGAACACCTCACAGCGCACCAACAGATACGTTCCCGAAGCCGGGAGAAACCACGCCCAGGCGTTTAGATGTCAGCATCCATGACGACCGTCTTGGCCAAGAAGCAAATGTAGATTCTGTGATCGTCCCAGTTGAAATTCCCTCCGCCGATGCTGGAGCAAACAGCACAGGCCCTGAGTCCCACGAGCTGACTCAGCAAAGTGAAGAGGCCTCGAGACGGACCCAGAGTGACTCTGCTCTGGTGGATGACATCTTTGCCAGGGAAGCGAGTACAGAGAGTAGTCTTCCGGAACTGAGACAAAACCTGCAAAAGCAACCCCCTTCAGAAGACCATCCCAGTGACCGTCCACTAGAGAAGAGCCCGGGAGCCGGGGACACTGCGCATCAGCTCAGCTGTAAAGATGCTGCAGCCGAAGGGGGCTTGGTGTCCGCCCTTTCCTCGGACTCGACTAGTCAGGACAGCCTTCTGGAAGACAGCTTGTCAACACCCATTCCAACTTCAGAACAGTCGGTGGAGACCCCCGATTCTCTGGACTCCGTGGACGTCCATGAGGCTCTGCTGGGTCCTCTAGGGGGCGGGCAGGAGAAACTCATGCCCCCTGACAAGCCTGCAGACAGTGGATACGAGACCGAGAACTTGGAGTCGCCTGAGTGGACTCTGCACCCTGCTCCCGACGGTGCCTCAGCCTCAGACCTGGCCCTAGCAGGCGACAGCCGTCATGGCGAGTTGCCTCCCAACCCTGTCATCGTCATCTCAGATGCAGCTGACGGCCACAGAGGGACCGAAGTGACCTCCCAGACCTCCGCAGCTGGCTCTCAGAGCTCACACCGCGACTCTGCCTACTTCTCAGATAACGATTCTGAACCTGATAAGAAGTCGGAGGGGGTCCAAGGAACCTCAGTGTCAGCTTTGGCATTGGTGATGGGTCAGCCTCTGCCAGAGCCAGTCATCCCGGAGCAAAGTCCTGGCACCGCGGACAGTGGCCTGGAAACCAGAAGCAGCCCGCCAGACCAAAGTGGTCTGTCTGCTTGGCAGAATTCCAGTCTCCTGGAATCAGGAGAAATGGCCCAGCCAGCACTGACAGACAGTTCCAAAGAGCTGCATGCTCCTGAAGACGAGGCTGGCAGTCCCTCGAGTGTGGTAAACTCGGAGCTGAGCAGCGGCGATGATTTCGAGGCACAAGAAGAGCCCCCCTGCACCATCGCCTCCACCGGGACAAACACCAACGAGCTCCTTGCGTTCGCCAGTTCCACCCTCCGCTCCGGCAGCCCGTCGGACCTGCCGGTGGATCAGCCCTTCCCCAGCCCCGCGGAGGGCCCCAAGCTGAAGGAGCCAGACATCGAGGGGAAGTACCTGGGGAAGCTTGGCGTGTCGGGGATGCTCGACCTCTCCGAGGACGGGATCGATGCAGACGAGGAAGATGAGAACAGCGACGACTCGGACGAGGACCTGCGGGCGTTCACCCTGCACAGCCTCAGCTCCGAGTCGGAGGATGAGGTCGAGCACCCTGTCCCCGTGATCCTCAGCAACGAGGACGGGAGGCACCTGCGGAGCCTGTTGAAACCCCCGGCGGCGGCTGCTGCTGACCAGCTGCCGGACGCCTGGAAGAAAGAAAAGAAGGCAGTGACCTTTTTTGATGACGTCACCGTCTATCTGTTTGACCAGGTATCTGTTACTTCCATGTCATCATAGTAGAGGGTTCCAGAATGTGGCGGGACATGGAGTCTGCTCTGTTTTCCCACTTTTCATTTTGAGGGCACGGACTGCTTTTTTAAAAAGCCATTTGCGGTTGATGGCTGTTACAATTCCAAGAATATGCAGATATGTAGTTTGCACAGGGAACTCCTATCAAATTAAGGAAGGACATCTGTGCTCTTCCTGGGTCTCCCGGCAGAGTCCTGCTGAGGTTGGTTACCCTTCACAGACGTTGTTATAATCTGACGTCGGCAGGAACACCCCGCACGCAGGTGCACGCTGGCACAAGCTGGCTCATGATTAGCCCTGGAGACGCGGCCCAGTGGCAGTGCCTGTGGGGCAGCAGCAGGGTCTGCGGCTCTCCCTTCCTCCTCCCCCCTTTTTGTTCTCCTCCCCCCTCCTGCCCTCCTCCCCCCTCCTGTCCTCCTCACTGTGGAGCAGGCGGCCGCTGTGCACCACACGAGGTGGGCTCAGACTTTGCCTTCTTTAAAAATGAACCAGCCTGTAATTCAGACTTTTAAAAAAAATATTCTTTGTCGACTAGTCTCTGTAGTCCTTGAATTTGCTTCCTGAATGAGCTAGATGGTGAGGAAAGCTCAGTCACAGACACGTCTGAATGGGACCCTTTGTGTTCCAGAAGGTGTGGGAGTCCTTGGCCCTGGTCTCCCTAGAGCCGCCCGCCCTCCCTCTGTGTTAGTCCTTGGGACTGAGGCTGTCAGGCCTCTCTCAGCTTTGTGCCTCCTCAGGCGAGGTTGTCTTTCCAAGAATGTCGTCCACATGGACTCCACAGCATATAACCTTCGGAGGCTGGCCTTCTCTCCAGCACGTAAGGCCTTCGAAACCCACCCGAGGCGCACGGGTCGGTAGTGCCTGCCTTTGTGTTGCTGAGCGCTGTTCCGCGCGTGGGTGCCAGTGGTCTCGGCATTCACCTGCTGAGGGACAATGTGGTTTTTCCACTTTGAACAATGTGTGCAGGTTTTCGAGTAACATAGATGGGGGAGGGGGTGAACACCAGGGGTGTGATTGCTGGGCTGTATGGTAACTGTGTGTTCAGTTTTTTAAAGAAAATGACCTTTTCCACAGAGGCTGTACCACTCCCATCCGCAGCGCAGGGGGGTTCAGTTTCTCTTTATCTTCCCCAGTGTTTGGTGGTGTCACTCTCTTCTATTTTAGCTTTTCTATTAGCCTCAGTCGTGATCTTAAATTCATTTCCCTGTGGCTGGCCAGTGAGGCTGCACGACTCTTCATTGCGCATTTATTCCATGCACTCATTTGCTGTCTGTACGTCCTTTTCAGTGAAATGCCCCATCTTTTGCCCATTTTCTTACCTGGATTCTCTGTGTCTTGAGTTTTGTTTGAGTTTTTTAATAAAGTCTAGATATGAGTCCTTTGTCAGATCCATGGTTTGGAAATATTTCTCCCAGTCTGTAGGTTGTCTTTCACAGAGCAAAAGTTTTAAATTTTGATGGACTCCCATTTTTCACTTTTTTTTATAGATCATAATTTTTTAAAATCTGTTTTTATTGATTTCAGAGAGAGGAAGGGAGTGGGAGAAAGAGATAGAAACATCAATGATGAGAGAATCATCGATCGGCTGCCTTCTGCACGCCCCCCACTGGGGATCGAGCCTGCAAACCGGGCATGTGCCCTGACCAGGAATTGAACCATGACCTCCTGGTTCCTAGGTCAATGCTCAACCACTGAGCCACACCGGCCGGGCTGGCTCATACTTTTGTTATGTCTAAGCACCCTTCACCAACCCCTAGATCCTGAATATTTTCTCTAAGTTCTATGTTTAGATCTGTTACACATTTTGAGTTGATTTCTGTGTAAGGTTTAGGTTGGGGTTCATTATTTTATGTTGGGATGTGTGTGCAGCTGTTCCAGTGTTGTCTGTTGAGAAGACTGCTCGCTGTCCATTGAACAGCCTTTGCACTTTCGTCAAAAATTAAATGACCATCTCTCTATGGGTCTATTTCTGAACTTTTTGTTCTGTTCCACTGACTTGTGTATTTACCTCTTTGCCAATACCTCACTCTTGTGATTAAGTCTTAAAATCAGGGGTGTGATTCCTCTATCATTTTTCCTCTTTTTTAAAATTGCTTTGGCTTCTGTAGTTCCTGTAATTTGCCTTATAGATTTTAGAATCAGCTTGTCTATAGCTACAAACAGAAATTGTACTTGGATTTTGATGGGAATTGCATGAAACCTAAAGCTCCGCTGGAGGAGAATCGACCTCTTCACTGTGTTGAGCCCGGATGGTGACCTCTGTGCCTCTTCATCCGCTGGTTTTCAGTGTGTGCAGGGTGTTGTGCTGTGGCTTGTTTTGATTACCCTCACGAGGAGATGCTCACTGGTCTCATAAGAGAAGGTGGGCAGTATTTCTCTTTTTGAAAGAGATTGTGTAGATTTATTGATCTTTTTGAAGAACTGATTTTGATTTCATAGAGTGTTTTTTCTTATTTTCTTTTCAATTTTATTGATTTCTGCTGTGTCATTTATTTCCTTCCAGTTGCTTTAGGTTTATTTTGCTTTTCTTTTTCTAGACTCTTAAGGAAGACACTTAGCATGTAAGACCTTTCTTCTTTCTAATATGAGCATTTCATGTTATAAACATCCCTCTATGTGTTAGCTGCATCCCACAAATTTTAATGTTGTATATTTATTCCGTTCAAAATACTTTCTAATTTTCCTCACGGCTTCCTCTTTGATCCTTAGATTATTTATACACATGTTAATTTTTAAGCCTTCGTGGGTGGGGGTTCTCTCTTTAAGGTGTTTGCTGTGCTATTTGAACTCAGCACACCCCGAAATGCAAAGCGGGCCCTGGAGTGAACAGAGAGAGCTCAGGAGCCCTTTGGTTCTGGTTCTGAAAGCAGCAGGAGGGGGTATTCTGCTGCCAGAAAGGGGAGAAGAAGTCCCTTTTTATTCCCTTTCTCGGTCCCAGCCCCAGGCCATCCCAGGGTGGCAGCAGTCGGGGTGCCTGGCTCCGGTGGTCATGAGGGGGCAGATGCCCTCTCCACCCAGAGGGCCTGTGATCTCAAGAGCGAGGAGAACCCCTGAGCTCCCCTGCGGAGCTGCACGAAGTGTGCAGTGCAGTGGGGGCCAGAGCCCCAGCCGGAATACCAGAGACCCCACAGAGATTGAGGCGCCCAGAAAAGCAGCCCCATCGAGCTGTTTCTGAGCTCTCGCTTGCTTCCAAGTGCGCATGGCAGATCTGGCCTGAAAGGGCACCCTGCACACCACAGCACTGAGATGGAGCGGTCGGGGGGCTGCCGCCCCAGGAGCCAGTCTGGCCCGAGAAGGGCACGTGCACAGGACAGGCTCAGGAGTCCAGGCCGGGAGCTGTGGTTGGGGGCAGGGGCGGGGGTGAAATTCACTGCTGTTTGCTGTCTTTGAATTCCGGCCTTCTTCCCGACCGGCCTGCGACTGCTTACTTCTCAGAGGCCCCACGTAGCTGCTTCGTGCATTCTGCCCGGGCTTTGGAGCGCGTTCAGTGGGAGAGACAGGGCTGCGTGTTCCTATTCCACCTCCCAGGACCAGAAACCACCTCCTTTAAGATGAGCATTTCACAGCCGGTCGGTCAGACGCACCGCGGCCTGCGATGCGTGCACCTGCAGCTCCCGGGGCAGGCGCTTCCTGACGGGCTTTTTGCTTGTCTTTTCAGGAGACCCCAACCAAAGAGCTGGGACACTGCGGGGCAGAAGCCCGTGGCCCTGAGCGGAGCAGCCCAGCACCGCCCTCGGGTTCCCCCTACCTGAGCAGGGGCATAAATTCCGAAAGTTCCACCGATGAAGAAGGTATTTCACTTCACAGACGGGTTTAAAATCAACTAAAAAGAGTGCGTTGTGAATGTAAACATTTGAAGATGACTTCACTGTTGCTTTACGGGACCCGGCGCACCATCTGTTGGCCGCGCGTGTTTGCTGAGCTGCAGGGTGCACTTGTGTGTTTGCTCTGTTCTTTGTCATCAGCCGATCACAGGAGAATGATGTCTCATTTTGCCTTGTAGGTGGAGGCTTTGAATGGGATGACGACTTCTCCCCAGACTCCTTTATGTCAAAGACAACGAGTAACCTTCTTAGTTCCAAGCCATCTCTGCAGACTTCTAAGTACTTTTCTCCACCGCCACCGCCCCGGAGCGCGGAGCAGAGCTGGCCCCAGACGGCGCCGTACTCCCGGTTCTCCATCTCTCCCGCCAGCATCGCCAGCTTTTCTCTCACACATCTTACCGACTCGGATATTGAGCCAGGAGGTGAGGGGGTGCTGGCCCAGGGCCGTCCTGGGAGACCCGTCCCCCTGTTCTTGAATGCATGTTCGCCTGCTGCTTGCCTGGCGGGGTAGGGTATGGACAGTTCTCTATGCAGCTTGCGGGGCCACATCCCACCTTCCAGAACCTGTTACTCCAGGGGCTCAGTACTACTTGCAGGTGTCCCCTCGCTGCCCCTGCTGGGCTGGCTGCCTGGGCAGAAGCGGGACTTGCCCCCGTGTGAGGGCCATCTCTCCTCCCTTTTTCTGCTTTTGCTCCTGGCTACCCCACCCCTGTCTCCAGGTCCTCCTCCCCTAGAAGCAGCTCTTCAGAAGGCTATGCTCCTAAGAACACTTGGCCCCAGGTTTGGGATTGAGCCCAAATTCACCCTGGTTTTTCCCAGGAATGTTGATTTTGCCATTAAGTCTTAGTCCTCGTGCGATACCAGAGGCCTGGGTGGGAATCACGGGCGGGCACGTCTGAAGTTGTATTATCTGCACATACGGACCCTTTCTTCCCCAGAGCTAGATTGGAAGATAAACGTTAAGAGGTACATTTTTTTATTTGAAGTTTGCAGATCAAATAATAACTAGGAAACATAAAGAGCTTTTGTTTGTGTTTGTGCTGCGCTTAATTGTGCCGATTAGATAATGGGCATGGCCTAACGCCTTGTCAGAGGGGCAGATGTGTGCCGGCCAGAGCCGCTTTCTCCTGCGCCCTCAGCCTCGACATTGACCCAGCGTGGGAGCTGAGCAGATGTGCTTGCTGCCCTGGGAAGAACACCTGGGGCTCGGCAGGTGCTGGGCGTCCGCACTCGCAGCTTCAGTTCCTTTTTCTGCCGTGCAGCTCAGATGCTACCCCGACTGTTTTATCTGGGACAGTCACTTTAACCCTGCTCTGCTTGCTCTCTCCTAAACAGGAAGCAGTGAAGATGGAGAAAAAGATTAGGTGGATGGTGATGCACTCTCAGGTTCCAGGCTGCTTCCCCGCGGCGGCGGGCCTGTGCTGCCCACCGAACAGCGCCATCCACGCGACATCTGCTGAGGCGGGACAGGGAGAAAGACTCAGAGGCGGAGAGGGAGCCAGCACTGGGCCCCGAGCCCGGTACCCACGGCAGGAAACCCGTCTAGGGAGCCGGGGTCCTGTCTCGCGGGGTTTGCTGCCCTGGCAGCTGCGCGCCTGCAGCCGCTCTCACCACTACAGACACTCGGGCTCTGGTCTTCCTTGGGGAGGGCTGGCACTGCTCAGGTGCGTGGAGAGCTGTGGGCTCCCGGCTGTTTCTGGTTTCCACGCGGGGTTCTCTGTCCACACCCGTGCATCCGTCTGCGCACGGGCCCAGAGGACGCGTGGTGGGACTGGGCACCGTGAGCCATATTTATTATTTGTAAGAAATCACTAATTGCTTCTGTAATTGCACTGTGGGTACATGTTCTAAGAGTCCCTGATATTGTACAGAATCTTAAGTTATTCAAGGAAAATAAGGCAGGTCAAGCTGGTGCTGCCCACTAGTTTGATTTTTTGGTTGTATTATAGTTTATTTGCTCTGCATGGTACTTGTAAAGCTGAAATATTTGGAGTGTGTGCAGTCCTTAGAGTTGCTGGAGTTGTACAGATGGTCCTCTTTCGTAAACGATAACTGATTCCGAACGCTAGTGCTTCGAGCCTCATAGGAAAGGTTTGGATGAGCCCAGAGAGACTGCTCTTCGGTCGATGGGCTGGAACCCCTGTTGTCTCTTCTCGACGCGGTGGTTTCCCTGTAGCGGAGGAGGCTTCTCTGAGGAGCTGAGGGCCTTGCAGCCTCTGTGTGATTCCCCACCCCGATTTCTAAACCCTTTGGGTAAACACCAACAGGTGGTGCGCCCCAGCACTGAGTGCTGGTTAGACTGTGCGGTCCCCGGGCCCTTCCCCCAGAGGCACTTCCCTCCAAGCTGCCATCACTGGACACCTGCTTGGCTTTCAGAAGCGCAGGCTGCTGTGGCTTCCGTGTCCTTGGAACTCCTTCCGCAGGAAGGTGGGAACTCGGAGGGAGGAGCTGCTCCCCCAGGCCTCTGGCAACACGAGGGTTTGATTCTGTTTGTAAAAGCTCAGCCTCTGGTGTTGAGCTCTTAATACCCCCGAGCGGAACTTTCCCCTAGAACCCCTCCGAGGCCTGTCACGGCCAGGTGGCTGGTGTCTGCAGCCGAGGAGGTGCCCTGCATCCCATCCCGCAACTGAGGAAGGAGGGACGAGGGACAGCGGCGGAGCCTCCGCAGCCAGCATGTCCTCCTGGTTGGAAGCGGGGCAGCCCTGCCTGGCCGCTCACCCAGACGCCACCCCGGGGCGCACTGCACTGACCCTCCCGTCTGCGTTAAGCACCGAGTTCTCCCCTTGCTTGGAAAAGTGCAACCTCATAGTGTTGGTGGCCTCCTCCTGCAGTTCTGAGTCCTGGGGGCTCGGCGTGTCCATCCTGAAGCCAGGTCTGCAGGCCCCACAGGCTGCCCTTCCCAGTGTTCTCGGTGCTGAGGTGCTTTCCCACTCCAGCCGGGCCCTAGGCTGACTCCAGGCCCAGGGGGCCCCGGGGTGTAAGTCACAGGAACGCCGTCCCAGGGCGAGATGCAAACGTGTACACTGGCTAGAGTGTAGTAAATGTTGATCCTTATTACCAATTCTGGTTCACTCCACTAACTTCTTATACTAGCAATAACGTTCCAGAGTGAGAGACTTCAGATGGAGAAGAGCCCTTCCCCCCCACTTGCTGTGAGCATGGAGCACCACGGGGCGGGGGGCGCTGCTGGGAGCTGGACCCTGTGGTGTGCACTTTGAAAAGTTAACAGGGCATTAGAAGGTGATTTTGCCAAAGTTGCCAAACTCTGAGTTTCTTACTTATGGAGACTTCCTGAGCTTTCTGAATTTTTACATCTAACTACCAGCTTGGTTTAGAGAGAAATAAGGCCATTATACTAGATTTTTCAAAGTATAGGTTTAAGGGGTTCAGACTTAATGACTAAAATCAAGCCGATCTATAGAATATATAGTCTTACACAGTCAGCCCAGGCTAAATCTGGTGTTTTGGGGTTGACCATTTTTCACTATGATCAAGGAGATTTTAACAACATAATTCTCATTTTTATTTATTTTAAGTCTGTGTCGATCTCATAATTGCCAAAAAGGCATTTTATACATTGAGTTGGGGGGGAGGGGTTGGAGTAGATCTTACTGTGGGGTTGCATGGTGGGGAATATTTTATATTTATAATGAACACGTGCGTGAACATGTTCTTTTGAAATCTCAAGCAATACACAGGAAGTAAATCGTGTACACTAAAATTTTCAGCCCATTTTTGAAATGCCAGCGTGTGCTTTGTTTTTTTTTTACTCAGTTGTATAAAAGTAGTGGGTTTTCAAGCAGTACTTGCTCTAGTAAATTATGCAGTGAAATAAATCAGTGATTCTCTAGGGAATACAGGTGGGGTTTGAAGTACCTGCCTCACAACATTTCCTGGCCTCCCTTGGAATTGATCAGGTTTCAATGAGTCTTACTTTGGTGGAGTTGAATCCCATGGTACAAATAATCTAACCTTCATTTCCTTCCTAGCTAGGTGTTAACTTGTGTTATCAATGACTGTTGTAAGTCAAAAAGAATGTAGAAAAGTGCTCCCAAATCCTTCTGAAACGTGGACTGTGGTCTGGGAAGAAGCCATTCATCTTAAGGGTGAACCAGCTCAGCAACGCTGAATGGAAAACCTGTTCATTTTTAAACGTACAGGTGACTGTTTCTATGGAAATGGGTTTATCTAAGACAAGTCTTTGTATGTCTTGCTGCCATGAAACACCTTTAAAAGCCTCTTGGTATTATGTCCATAGGGTGTGTGTAGGGTTAATGACCTAACTTGCCGCATGTTTGCCCTGAGGGCCCAGGTGTGCGGGAGCAGCTCCCGGCTTGGCTTGACTCAGCTGGTCATCTGAGAATCCCAGAAGCGAACCCGAACCCGGGTCAGGGGCTGCAAGACACGCGCCTTCTGAGAAGTAGCCTTAGAGTAAGAATGCTGTAGTTCCTTCAGACCTGAATCTCAAACACAATCTTCCTAGGTTGTGATGGGGTTGGCTCAAGTTTTGACTGTTAAAAGGAAACTTCTCTTTAACGTATGAATAAATCCTCAAAGATGTGTTGACAGTATTGAACTGCCACCAGCCGTTACTGGAATGGCTGGACATGTCTAGTAGGTCTCAGAGAAGGACCTCAGGGGCAGTCACACCTGTGCGGTTTCCCTGTTGAACTTTAACACAATCGTAAGAGTTATATTCACGGCAATGTAAGTTAATGAACTTTCAGTTTAAATTGTGTACATTTTTAAATTGTAAGATTTTTACTGTATATTGATGCATAGTGTGATTCAATAAATTGCTTGTAATTTAAAAACTATTTAATATTCAAAATAAATATAGTTATATATTTATAAACTCTTGCTGTGTTTATTCTGTAATTTTAACACGGAGGCCCTGGGTGGGTCGCTGGCACTGCCCTGGTCTCCAGATGCCCTTTTCCGAGACAGACCTGAATCCCACGCGCCCCAGAGAACAGACCGTGGTGACAGGGAAACTGAGCTTTCACGCGCATTTGTGCTGCCTTAACGCGTGGCTGTAATCCGAAGCCTTTGATGGTTTCAGAAGCATTTTAGTTCCTGAGGTCCAGCACCCAGTGAGCAAACCAAGAGGCGAATCCGCTCTAAACCAGCCTTTCCGCGCCCTGAGTGGCCCTCATCCCCATGGCGGGCCTTGCTCTCCTGGTCCCAGCGGCCAAGAGCACCTGACAGGCTCTTACCAAGACTGACCACACCTGGCCCCAGCTCGGGTTATAAGAACTCCCATGTGACCCTCAGGGAGGAGATGGGGACCCGTGACCCCCGCTTCAGAGATGCCCAAGACAGGCAGCGAGAGACAGCGCTGACCCTGACCCTGCGGGGGTGGGGCACAGGCTCCTGCGGCACCGGCCACGGTCTCGCTGCACTCGGGGCGCGTCCTGTCAGCCCCCAAGGACCCGAGCCAGACGCTTTCCACGCGCCTGTGAACAGTGCGACTGGGTAAAGCACGTGGGTGCAGAGCCGGGTTTGTGCCCGAGCTGCCTGCCTGCTCCCCGGAAACCTCACACCGGCGACCAGTTATTTCCCGGCGACGTGCGCGCAGGCGGCGCCCAGGTGCTCCGCGGGCGGGGCGCCTCCCCTGGCACCCGGACCGGGGCGGCGGGGTGGGGTGGGGGAGGGGGTGTCCCAGAGCCCCCGGGCGGGCGCTGCCGGGTTCGCCGGAACTTGGGCTCCCGCTCCTGGAGGACGTGGCCGCTTCCCGTTTAGGATACGCATTATTAAACACGCTCCTCCGCGCATTCTCCAGACGGGCTCCGCGTTCCGAGCCTTAACCCCACGGTCAGGTGCGGCCGCCAGTGCAGCGCCGGCTTCCTCTCCGCGCCGCTGGGCTCCCCGGGAGGCCTCAGTCTCCCCAGCCGCAGCCTGGGCTCCGCGGCGGGGGTGGGGGCGCGACCCGGGCTGGGTCCCCAGGTGCGCGCCCCGCGCCGCCTCCGCGGACACCGGCCCCGCCCCGGCCCCGCCCCGCGGGTCATTTACATGTGGCCGCGGCCCCGCCTGGGGCGCTAAAGCGATGGTCCTTGTCCCCCGTGGACAGCCCTGGTGCGTGCGGTCCCTGATTCCCCAGGTAACCGGATAGTGTTCGAAGGTCATGCTCCCGCGGTAAGAATAACCAAGTTCAGGTCCCCGTCTAGTCTTGGAAAAGAATCTGGGGTGAGAGATCTGGTTCTCGGAGCCCTTAGATATAGGCCACCTCCAATGTTTAACCAAG